AAAGGAGCAAGCCACAGGGCAATTAGTCTCTGATTTGTCAAGGTGCCTTCTCTACTCTAGGAATGACTTGACAAGCAGCAGTGAAGACAGTAAAGAGACTACTCTGGAGCCTAAAGTGGACAATAAAACCCTGAAAATTCTCACTGGTGATCCTCTGCTGAAAACCAAAGACTGTTGCAGAGCCAAACAGAAAAGTGGCCCCAACCAGGAGGAGTCTGCAACTTAGTAAAGGAGAGCGTCATGAAAGCTGTATAGCTTTTCATTTAATACAGGGAAAAAATAGCAACAGCTGTTTAATTATTAGTTTCTCAAGTGCATGGTTAAGTCAGGGCTGTGTGTTACAGAGAATCTATTCACCAACAGACATGACATGAGGGACGACCAGCATTTCCAAGTTTAGTGTGACAAAAACAAAGTCTAGAATTGTAGGATAAAGCTTCAACAATTCAGCAGGCCCCAGTACTGTTTTCATTACACCACCTGGGTTAAATTTGTTTTCTTTGGTACCCCTACATCAGTCATTTTGGCCGTTATTGCATCTTCCCCACTGAAATCTGCATTCAGCGGATAAATCCGTACCTAAGCCACAATGCTTCTGTGAGTACCTAGACAGCTTCAAGCAGCTAAATCTGCTAAGCTTCTGGAAGTTCGCATAACAACACAGTAGTATTAAGCATGATTTTGACATTGTGCCTATTTATCTTTTGTGTATTGATTTGTTTCAGATGGATAAAAGCAGTCACATCTATATAGGGCATCTTCACTATTTTCCTCCCTCAGCTTAGATATAGATTTTTTAAAAGGTTAATAAGCAAAAGTATTCTTCTGTCAGTCTCCTTACATGACCTCAAATCTGTCTCCCTTCTCCCCTTGCTTATAAGATGGGTTTTTTTGCTTGTTGTTGGTTTTTTGTTTTGGGGTTTTGTTTTTGTTTTTTTTGTTTTTTTGGGGGGTGTTACACATTCATAAAAGAAAAAAAAAGAAAAAACTTTAACTCATCTCATTACACTGAAGTAATGGCAGCCATGCTCAAAAATGTTCCTCTGTTTATGCTGCAGAGTCCTCAAGTTTTGTTTTCCATACAACATGAACTTTTTATGCTGGAAATCTGAAAAAAAATAAAATGTCAAACTGAATGCTTACTCCAGTAGGGTTGTTATTGCATGGTGCACTGAACTGGGAAGTAGAGACTACCAGAGTCCGCTAACCATATGTAGGACCAAAACATGCCCTCCAGCAGGCATGTTACAAAATCACCACAGCTGTTCAGATTATTTTGATCAAGTGCAGATTTATTTAAGAAATGTAAAGTAAATATCAACACCTGCAAAAGAGAAAAACCCTCTTAAATATATTAATAAGTATTTCTTACGGTAAAAAGAATAGAACCACTCTTAGTTAATACATACTTAGTCTCAGCAGGCTGTTCTGAGAGCTTGGTCTAAATGGACTGTGGAGTGATTCTAGCAACTATACATCTTTTTTTTCCCCCAGCTTAAAACAAACTTCAGATAACTGGCAATATAACAAGTTAATGGTCTCCCATTGCAATAGGAATCCTGAGGTGTTTGTTTTCAAAGCAGGAGCCCACTTCCTCCTCATATTCCAAGCCAACAGTTAGAGGTGCACCAATACATCAGTCCCATATTGGATCGGCACCAATATAAAGGAAAATTCACTGTATTGGCAATCAGGTTTTTTTGGCTGATGTGGCCAAAAAATGACCCATGCATGTGCGCAGCCGCAGGTGGGTCAAGAGCACAGCCTGGCAGCATGGAGAGCAGCCAGGTCCAGCTGGTAAGTCTGTTGTGGGGGAAGGAGAGTGGGAAGGGGGGCAGAGTGAAGCCCCTGCAGTGAGGGAGGGAGCGAGGCTGGGGCACACACTACACAGCCAGGGCAGGGAAGGGCAGGGCGTGGGACAAAACCACAAGCAGCCCGTTGGGGTTGGGTCATCACTCCTGCTGCTATATATAACCCAGGAGGGCATGGGGGGCACGTCCCCCCAGATCTATGCAGCGAGAAGGTGGGCTGCCGCTGTGGGCTGGGGCTGCACTCAGGGCAGGTGGTGGTGGTGCTACAGCAAATTTTGGGGTAGCTGTAGACCCCGCATAATCCCCTCCCAGCACAGCCACCACCCGTGCTGAGTGCAGCCTGGCCCACCACCCCCACTGGGAAGAGCCTGGCCCCAGCCCCAGTCCGCAGCGGCAGCCCGCCCTCACCCCACATGCAGATCTGGGGGCACAAGCTGCCTCCATGCCCTCCCAGAGTGTGTACGATACTGAGAGCCCCCCTCCCCTCATACCTCCCAGACAAGCCACTTGCAGCTCCATCCTGCCTGGACTGTGCAGTGCCTGCCCCAGCCACACTCCCTCCCTCACCATGGGGGCCTCGATCTGGCCTACCTCACACCCCTTCCCCCACAACAGACTTATCAGCTGGACACTGCTCTCCATGCTGCCCAGCTGCATATTGGAATAGAATCAGTATCAGCCAATATGGCCTGTTAAAAATTGGTCATCGGTATTGGCCCCAAAATTCTCTATTGATGCACCCCTACCAACAGCAATAAGCACATAAAACAAGCTACTCCATACAGTAAGAAAGTATAATAGCTAGACAATTACTCTGTGCCATTTAAATTTTGTGTCCCAACTGTCACAAAACACTTTCTCTGTGCCACAGGCAGAAAACAAAAGCACGGGACTCAGAATACAGTTAATTCCTTACATTGTAAGTGTTCACAGAAAGCTAGGTTTGGCGAGTTAGGTGCTTAAAAAGCAACTAAGTTATCTTTTACATGATGTTAAGGTGAGTAAGTTTCCCTTTTTTGTTTTTTTCCACTAAGCCATATTTCAGTTACCAAGAAGTAAACTAGGCTATCATTTCTGTTATTCATTTATGCTTTCACACAACTTTGGACAGTGAAAAGTGATTAGTCAGTTTTCCTCTCCAGTGCTCCTGCATTAGCTTGTGTTTAAGTTGCCAATGTTGCAGGAGACAGTGGGATAAAAGCCAAACATTGCAAAATTAAAAACTGTTTTTAAAAATATATTATGCTTTACAAACTGTTAAACATGGGCAAATCTGAAACTTATCCTAAACATGACAATGCCCTTTAAATGCAAATTAAGAGTCAGCCAGCCACCAATCTGATTGTCTGACAAACTGAATTCGGTAGGGCGATTTAAAATACAAGACAAGTGTCTTGCTTCGTGGGATTCTTTTTTTTAATATTATATACAGGATAAGAAGCTCTCATGCTGTATACATACAGTTTGCAATAACAAACTGAAGTCCTTCCTCGCAGATCTTCACTAAAGCAAGTCAGAGGCGCACGAAATTATGTGAACTTTAAGAAGAGGGTAGAAATCTAACATTTACTCATTAGTACCAAAGCAGAATATTGTTGTTTATGTTTCCATTTTTTTTGGACTCCAAACTGCAGCATACAGAACAGCATCAGTTTTCTTAGTTTAAAAAGAATTTTTTTTTTTTTTTTTAAAGGTATGCTGTATTTCCTGGGGTATTCCAATTTACTTTTTCACTAGCAATTTGAAATTTTCACAACGCAACATGCAGAAAAGCAAGAAAAATATGAGACTATTCCGTAAACATGGACCATTTGTACTCCCTGAGCTGAGTGGGAAGCAACTTTTCAAAGCAACCTAGAATAATTCATGTATTGCTGGAAGTGATGGGAGAGTGAGCTATAAATATTTAGACATTTGTCTGTGAACACCTTGATGAGCTGATATGCCCTGCACAAACTTAATTGTACGCAAGTTAGTCAGGGTAAAATATTTACTATTAATATCAACAGCAACTTTTGGGACATCACCACTGTATTCAAATACAATTTCAGCAGGGTTACTGGAGGCTGAAAAGGTGCTTTTGGTAACTTCTGTTCAGAGTATAGCATTTGCTACGACCATTCCTACTTCTGTAGGATTTGCACATACCATGCAAAGTTTTATTGCATCACCACAACTTAAAGTATATGGACTCCCACTGTTTCAATGAGGCTTATTCAACAAAACCAGCATGGGTGCTACTGGCCAGCCACTTCCATTATTCAGAAAAAAATTCTTCTGCCATAGGTGTAAGTGTGTCATTTGCATGTTGATTCAAAACTTGCAGATTTCTTTCAAACCCAACGTGTAACTCATTGCATTAGACTTTAAGCTCAGGAAACACAGCAAATGAATACAGTAGAAACACCCATAAAATATATGCAGGCTGCTGTTTCCTCTAAAAGATACCACATTCAGAGATTCATAAAGGACTGTCACCTCACCAAACTCTAAAATAACTGCCAAGAAATGACACATTTCTTATACGCCCCAAAATGACTTTTTTAAATATACCAATGTGAACCAACTATTAAACAGCCAGGTTCCTCCTATCACCAATCCACAAGCTAGTTATTCAGCTTTATGCTGAAGTAGTTACTGGGCTGGAAATCAAGTAGAAGAATGCAAAAACCCTACTGTAAACACTTTTGAATCAAGAAAGGGACCTGGGAAATCTCACCAACTTTCCTTCTCACAGAGTTATTAACAGGTTTTGGCCATATAGAGATTTGTGATGGAGAGAAAGATGATTCTTTCCAAATAGAAACATTCACCACCAGTGTGAAAAAGATGGCATTAGCTAAACTCTTCAAAAATAAAAAACTAGAGAATAAATGCACATTCAAGTTTTTTTTAGGTTTACAAATATTTGACCCACACAGTAATCCCCACAGCACCTAATCATAATACTGAGAAGTTTCTTGCTTAAACAGTTTCTGACCCAATAAGTTATTTTTTGTATAAAAAGCACCAAGTCCTGAGTCCTTTTTCTGCAATCTGGAAAGCAACCACACAATTTGCAACACATTTAAATTTATTCTGTTAAAACTGCGTTGGGATTGGCATCTAATTCAGTGAATTTTAAGTGGCTGTAGTGGTTTGGGTCACCCTACTCCCTTTTTTACTGCATTTACAGAAGAGACAATTAAAAGTTTTTTCTCCCAGAAACAAAAAAATTGCAGACAAGATTTACCATGTATAGATTTTAACGTGTCAAATATTTCTGAGGTATGTTGCTTGAGGGCTGCAAAAATTACAATTCCCTTTTGGAAGTACACTGGAGGTACCGCTATTGCTGAGGAACAAAGTGAACATGAACCAACAAAAATTAAATAAATATGCAGAGAAGAAACAACACTAGCCTTACCTAGCTTTTTACTCCTCTCTCTCAGCCAAAGAGAATATTCAGTAGAAAACTCTAAACAGTGAGCATTTTAACTAGGAAAAAAAGTCAAGACAGAAGAGGCCTTGCATTTCAACAGTATGAACCAAACAGAGAAGGAATTTCAATGTAAAAAAGAGACTGAAAATTAGTCTCTATAGCCCTGACTGCAATTCTACGGGTACCAATTAGACTGAAAACTGAATTTCCAGTATCATTTTAACACCAAGAAGGATCGAGTTTGCAAGTGGAATCTTACAATTCAACATTGCCAATATCACCAAAGAATCTCTCCTGAACTGCAACCAGATAAAAGTTAGCAACATTTTTAGAAAAAACATTTTAACCTCATCAATACCCGATTTTCCAAATCGGTACAATACCTTAATTAAAAGAATACTGCAAGCCAAGCAGTTACTTATGAATACACCATTCTTATTTAAGCCAGACTATGCAGAAAATCAGGGAAAAGTGAACCGCTTTGGTACGTAACAGAATAAATTATACCACAAAATCTGAATGTATACTATTTATCAATGATGATATTATAAATATCAACCCAGTTAATCAGCCAAATATTTTCCTACATCAGAATATTTACTTGGAAATACCCACCACTTCAAATAATATCCAAAGTATATTCCACAACCAGGCAGAAATCTCCCTTAGCAGATCTATCTTAGCACCTAGAACTTTTCGTTCCTCTGACAGTTATAGTTCTTTCCCTGTGCTTTACAAGAACTGAAACAAGCTTAGGATTTCTCTAAATTGAAGTTTATTTTCTTTGAGCTAAGAAAGACTTAACTATTAAATGCGTCTGAATGGTAGGAAGCAGCATGATTTTGATGATTTGTACAGGAACAGTTTCTGTACTGACAGAACAGGCTCTTGAGGACAAAATTGTATGTAGAGTGGCTAACTGTCAATGACACCCAAATCCAGGGCATAAAGTAACTGAGGGACATAACTTAATATTTAGATTTAAGCTTAAACTTTTGTGAGGCATAACAGAAGCTTTGGTTTCCAATTTAAGAAAATTATCAGTGTTGACAAAAGCTCCCTATTAACATTTACAGCTAGGGAAAAACTGTTTTTGCTGCACTGCCAGTTTTTCTGGCGAGCACATACCTGAAGTGGTATGTAAGTTCATGCTTTTAATAGACAGAAATGGAGGGCCTGATCCTGCAAGACTCCCAAGCATAAAGTTATATCACACTGTGGGCTTGCTGAGCTTTAACCTCCAAAGTTAAAGCTGTGCTCTCTAGCTTTTAAAGTCATAATGCTCCAAAATTAACATTCCACCACACAAAGGAGCTTCCAACCGGCACCCATCATCTAGTGCAGGGGTAAACAGAAAGAAATGTAAAGCTCGTTCTCCAACAGGGCCTGTCCCAATGCATTTTAGATGTTGCAGGTGAAGTGCTTAAAAGTAATTCATCTTTTTACCAACATTTTGCTTTGTTTTAGGACCATGGCAGGTTAAATAATCCAGAAAATCCCTTAAGCATCAAAGAAGGTCTCATCTCAACTAGGACGAATAAGCTTCTGATATTTTAATTTACTCAGCAGGATTTCCAGTTGTTTAGCCCCTAACGAACTTCTGGTTAGTTACCAGCAAATACACATTCGCTACTCCTGGAGATTGTTGTGATACAGCATTATGCATAGTTCCTTTCCTTACGATGCCCGGAGCTGCAAGTTTACTCGTTCAGCCTTTTTTCATGTGTTACAGTTCCACTTTAACTCCTTTGATAAAAGGTAGACCTGATGGCACCTTCTTTTTATACTCCAGGTATTCCTCGCCAAAAAAGTGAATTAACGTGATCTCCTCCTCTTCTATTCGCTCTCTAAAGAAACTCCAAGATGCTAAAGTGTAGCCAATCACACAGATGGGATTACAGAGTAATACCTGTAAGAGGACACAAGTGGTTATACTCCAATTTAGTTGGCAGATCTCTGTCCATCCTGGGAGAACGATATTCCCCTCCTCCCTCCAGCATTAAGTGAAGATTCATTAGTTGTCCAAAATGCGTATGCTGCAGTAAGACAGAATCTACAGACTTTTATATTGTGCAATATTAGTATTGATGGAGAAAGTCCCTAGCAAGTTTATTTCTACCGTTTCAAAAGCCAGTAAGATACATATGCCTGATATAAAAGGGAAGTCCAGGCCTGCACAGCTTTACACAATGGTGATCTTTGCAGCATTGCATGCAATACTTCTATTTTCTCTTTAACAGCTACAGTCTTACCCCTAACACCTATAGAGTTCTAAAACAAAAAGAGAATAACCACAACATCTAATCTACTGGCTCTGTAAGTTACAAGTTGCCTGAAACTGACTTCAAGTTCACTTTTTTGTTATTTGACCTGGGTTTTCTGTACTTATAGGTAGGTTAGTTTTCATTGCCGGTCCCAGACAGTACTAACAGATGATAAGAATAAGGCGAGTCTGATGGCTTACTGAAAGACATTTTGGAAGTAAAGATGAAAGGAAAGTCTGGACACGCCCTGGAAGCTTTAAGGTTGCATGGCTAGCAGCAGATCACAGCTTGAACCTCTGAATGTGTTCTAGCTCAAACCCAAGCTCCACTGCCTTGGCTTATTTCATATAGAAAATTAAGGTGATAAGGTCTTCCCAAATATCACACAGGATGAAGAGTTCAGAGGCCAGCAGTTTCATGACTAAAAGTATGCTGGTAGAAGACAGAATGTGTCAAAATCCATACCAGGGACTCCTGTAGTTGATAATTTGCTATTTAAATTATATGCAAGTTTTGGGCAACATTAAGAAATAACTAGATGAGAAGATCAAAATAGCTAAGTGTATTTTATACGATACCTGTGTTCCAATACTCCAGTAAAACCATCCCACGTAAGACGGGTGCCGGAACCACCCATATACCCCACTTGTCACCAAAGTATGAGTATCCGATTTCTCATTCTGAACAATATGGTTGAAGTTGGAGCCAGCTGTGAGCATGGCAGCTTTCCTCAGACACTCCCCAAAGATCACCATCAATAACCCTACAGTACTGAGCCAGGTGATCTGCTTCATTTCTGCAAGTGAATAAGTACTGGTCACAACATGTTTTTATAGTTTGCATTTTTACTGCAGATAAAAAGAAGCTTAACAATAGAAGCTGGATGAGAAGGAAAGGGGGAAGAAGAAAAAAAAGCAGCACATCTTCCAAAGTCTTTATCCTAGGTCAATTCACCCACAGAAAAGCCCAAAATTCTCAGATAACCCTAACAGATGGATAACATGATCTTGTTGTTTAAAGACAATATATAGAATAAAACACAGACTGTGTATTCGTATACAGCACAGAACAACATGGGGCGGTGGGGGGGAGAATAAGAAGGATAGACTATTTACTCTTCACCTCCTATAGTGACAAAAATATCATCTCTCAACTTTTCCTAGTAAATCTAAATGCAAAGAGAGACTGGTCAAAAAATGCACAGCTATGCCGAATCTGATTCTGGGACAGAACATTGATTCTGGTGGCTTTAGAAGGCATTAATTAGTATGCTCAGCCCAATGAGGGCACAGAAGATACTCTAGTGAGCTTTCCTCATCAATTTGAGAGCAGCACTAAGCAAAGTCTCACCCAACCCTCTTCAGTTGGGCATAAAATGATACCAGTAGAAAAGCACTTTTATAGTTTAAAAAGAGTTCCTAAATAATTAGTTTAGTTTCTAGCATCAATCTTGTTAGAACATTTTTTTTAATCCAGTGATTAACACTTAATGTTCTATTTTAGTGCCAAATCTTCACTGATGCGTCAAAATGACTAAAAAACCATCCTCAGTCTCAAGAGTTACTAAAGTATGGGGAAGGTTTGGAAATAAGGAAAAGGTTTAATTAGACAAACTCTGGGGTTTTTTTGCATCAAGGAGAAGAGTTTACTAGCAATACAAGTGCCATGTTTCAATTTTGACATGCTTTATCAGCATCCCATGCAAAACATATTTCCTCCCATGCTATACACATAAGGCATGAAATCCTGGCCCTACGATGTTAGAGGGCAGCTTATTTCAACTTTAGCCAAGCTAGATTTTGACTCATGTAAATAAGGTTGTTGTAATCTTATAAACTGCTATGAATGCAACCCTTGTGATACACAGCCTATATTCGCCCACAAATAGATGCTGTTAAAAACACATCCAGAAACCTCAAATGAAGTTACTAACCTGGATAAATTACTTTTTCAACTGTGAACTCTATCCAAGAAGAGACAGCAGCTAGGTTGTATTCAAAACTGTGGTTTAGAAGGAAAGAGTCCAAAGAAAGGCTCCTAGGATTATTAATGGCAGTCACCAAATACTCAGAATAATGGAAAAGTGACAGGGAACACATATACCTACAAGAGAAGAGACACACCAGATTCAAGCCAAAGCTGAGATAGCAACATCCTGCTGCTCCTGTCTGTTCAACAGAACTAGTACTGCATAGCTTGAAATTTCCGTGCTCATGCCCCAGCAACAGAAACTGATGCAGTACATAGCTCTTCACACACAGCGTCGTGTGTAAGAGAGGCCGGAACCTCCTGACTCGTCTTCAAGGAGAAAACAATCAAAGCATGAAGTCAGGGCACTCTCGGCAGGCAAGGGCTGCTCTACTTGGGAGACACCGCCAGGCTCACAGAAGCGACCCGGCAGCAAGTCAAGCGCCGCAGCACCGAGGAGAGCGCTTGGCGCCTGTTCCGAGTGCGAGTCAGAGACCCCGGGCACTGACGGCGGCTCGACTAGGGCGGGCGCGGCGGGGCCAGCGCAGAACTGGCTCCGGGAGCACAGCGCGCCCGGGC